TATCTTGTGGTGAGTCACTTTGACTGGGACATGCTAGTTCTCGTGTGTCCCTCTTTGTGGTTTTGACAGGGCAGGACCTTCTTGTCAAAGGTCTGTGTCCTGCTGAGAGCTTTCTCTCATCATTGAGCACATGTTTGTAGTGTTATGTGTCAGGTGTGCATGTGTTTGTCCTGGAGCTGCTCTGCCCTGATGTGCAGATGGGGTGGGGGGAATAGGTGGAGTAACCATAAGAGTCCCTGTGGGTACACTTAGCCAGCTGAGGTGATGGCTGTCTGGCTATTCTGGATGGAACAGCCATCATCCTTCTGAGTGCAGTCCTGAGGGCAGGGTTTTGTGGAAATGATGGGATCTGCCTAGCAGCAGGGCCATGAATCCTGATGGTTGTTCTATGTGTCTTGAAGCAGGCTGTAGTGGACCTCTAGATTTCCTGAATGGCCCTGAGAACTTCGCGAAGGTAAAGTTTTCACTGAGCACCTGGGTGAGCTGATGAGTCCTTTTTTTGTTCAGAGGCCAGCAGACAGGGTGTCCAGCAGAATCAGAGGAAGCCAGAGCAGCAGAACAAGAAGGTGGGTCGTCACTCGGTGTGGCAGGGACGATGTCACTTTTGGGTCCCTGAGTACTTCATAGTTTGACTTTTTGTTTTTGAGCACGAAGATGGTGAGCCCTGGGTGGCGTGGGCTATCTGCACCAGAGGGGAGATGAGCAAGGTGAGCATTACATGTTTCTTCTAGGTCTTGTGTCCTCAGTGGACTGAGGCATGAGCTAATTTCTTTTTTTTTTTTTTTTTACAGGTGTTAGGCAACCTTCTAACTGTTAGCCCCATGTGAGGGGATACACCCATCTCTTGTTTTTTTTGTTTTACAGGTGGTTTGCAAACTTCTTGCATAGCTCAGTTATTGAGTTGTGCGGCCATGAGGCAAAACAAATGTGATATTGTGAAAGTTGCAGGTAATCCAATTTAGACATTCGTCTCCTTGGTACAAGATGCCACTCACCTCATGTTTAATTGTCATTGACTTATTCTTTGTATTTCAGCTTTTTGGAGCTCAGTGCCCTCCTTCGTAAGAACACAAACCATGACTGCTGAGTTCATATCTGTGATTTCTCAAAAGCATAGACTTTTCTGTCAGGGACAACTTTTCTTGCTGTGGCAACTCATGAGCCCAGGGGTATGAAAGTACCACACTCAGTGAAGTGTCTGAGCGACTTGTTCCCAACAAGTATTCCAGAATATAGTTGCAAATAATCTGTGGATTTTCTATCTGAAAG